CCCGCCGGAGGAGGAGACCCGACTAGAGCGGTACCAGGCCAAGGCGCTCGGCCGGAGGTCGACGGACGGGGCCACATTCTTCTTCTTCTTCCTCGGGACGACGAGTGCGCGCGCGGCACACAATGATTCGGCTGGGTCGGGGCTCCCTCGGGCGGCGCGCGCGCGGCACGAGGCGAGAAAAGGTGGCGGGCGGGCGGGCGATACCCGAAGGATCAATCGATCGAGGGCAGCCAAAAAGCCGCGGCGCGGCGCACACGCCAGCCCCGGACACAATCACGCGCCGCAGCAGCCCCTCTCCCCTCTCTCTCCCTCTCTCTCTCGTCGCCTCGGCACGGCACGGCACGCGCGCGCAGGAGCACTCCACCCAGACCCAGGACCGGCCCGGCCGGAGGGGCAAAACGTGGCTCGCGCCCAGGTGCGCCTTTCCGTTCCCCGCCGGTTCCATCGGTGCCTCGCCTCGCCCGCACGCAGCCTAGGATGGATGGATAGATCACAGCAGCGGCAGCGGCAGTAGGTCTGCTCCCTCCGTCGCTGGGTCCTTCCCTCCCTCCCTCCCTCCCTCCGTCCGTGCTTTACGTGGGGGGCGTCAATGAGGGGCTTGGGCCAAACGGGGGTCGGCACGGCATGGCATCGGCATGGCATGCAGCGCAGAGGTCGTGTTCCCTGGCGCAGGGCACAGCGGGCCTTTTTCTAATGACTGCCCCGCAGCGCTGGTCGGCTTTATACTCGGCGCGACCGGGCCCACCGCGGCCGGCCTGCCCCTGCCTGCCGCCGGTGATGGACGCGCCTAGGTTTCAAACTGCGCCCTCAATTGTCAAGTCGCAGCCCTGCTCCCTCCGACTTCCATGGTTTCTTTTCTTTTCAGTAATAAAAATGTGCTTAGAAATGTACTCCCCGGGGCTCTGTTTTTCTTGGTGCATGCCTCGGTCGGGGACGGTTTAGATCCTTGCATACAGTACCTTCGTTTTTCTTTTGCACACATACGTTTTGTGGAGCTATTCGGGCCACACAAGATGGTTGGTGCCCTGGTCAGTGATACTAGATCCTTGCATAGTTGCATACCTTTTGACTTTCCAAAGAAATTGACAATAGTTACATGGATGGGCTTCATACAGATTTTTCAGTAGGCTAACCTTCAAGTTTAAGGAAGCACCAAGTTTCCTTTTGCTTCAAGGTAACCCTACGAGCAAAAGAAAAGAGGACCACAAATTTTGCTTGTCAGCCACGAGCTATGCTATGATGGCCTGCAAATCACACACTGTAGCGTAACACATTCATGTAAGTATGGCCTGCAAATCACACACTGTAGCGGAACACGTTCATGCAATTATCTCTATAGTTATCATAAGAGCGGAGCGGAGTATCGTAAGTGGCGTTTCGGTCAAACACAAGCTCTCATAGGTATTGTGCGAAGTTGCTGTCTAAAAATTTACAGAATGTATTATTGCCGTGTGAAACAAACATACCATGGTTCTACAAGAGTGGGTTATTGCAGCGACAATAAGAAAGAGCTTAAAAATAAATTTGCATAAAGAAAACCGGCTGAAAATAAAAAGTCTAGGCGTGGAGAAACTTCAAATCATGGTGTACGTCAAGTGTGCCAGTGCGACAGTAATACCAATTGCGTTGTATTGTGATTCTAGCGCGCAGATTGTTTGTTATGTAGGCGGTTCACCCTTGAGTGGTCGAACTCCTCCATGCGAAAATTGTTCTCCGTTATAGTCCTGCTTCGACAATGCCATAACATGATCGTTTACACAATTCAGGTCGCGAGGCTGGAACAATGCATTAGGTTTCATGGATCCCGTTTTATCTGATATTGTCTTCGCCGGTCATAGATACCAACACCCGTCACCTGAAGGTTAGAGATTCACTAAACATGCGTGTTACCTACATAGGTCCTTTGTCCAAGCTTCCTCCCCGGCATTTTTTCCTCGTCCTAGGCTGGCCGCTCCTCTAGTCTGCAGGTTGGCGTACCTCTGTCCTGTCAATGAAGGTCAAGTGACGCGGTCCGCGTCTGGCTTTGCGGTGGCTTCCTTGCTGGTTCAGTCCTGGCCCCGACGACTTTGGATCTGCATTCTCTCCAGTGTCCATGGCTCGTCGGTGTCTTGTGCTGGTGCGGGTCCGACCTCAGTGATCTTGAAGCTATGTTCCTCTAGCTTCTCTACCTCACCGGCGTCCCGGCGAATCCTGCCCGACGATAATATGTGTTCCCCTCTAGAAACTTGGCTCGTAGGCGTCGTTTAGTGCCGCAATCACCTCCTGCGCCACACCTGCCGAACCACCTCTCCTACGTGGTCCACCTCCATGCCTCGTCCTTCCCTTACTAGATCCAAATCTCGCGCTTTCGGTGGCGCTCAGTGTCACATTCTTCTTTGGTGACAAGCGCTCTCCCCCCTCCTGCGATGGCAGTTCCAGCCAATGGCCTGACCTCGACTCCGAATTCTGATCTGGCAACCATGGGATTGCTCGGACATAGACCAGAGCGAAATCCCCGCTTGACTTGCCGATGCTGGCAGCAGCGACACCTATGGATGGTGTCCCCTTCTTGGAGGAATTGTCATGGCCTTCTTTCCATGCCCTTCTTCGAGCACTGTGGGAAACCCCAGGTCCGGTTCATTGAATTGGATGACAATGGCATCGTTCCCTTTCATGATGGCGTTGTCTTGGTGGCTCGTGGTGTCCCCGGTGTTGGATTTGGTGATTTGGGCGTCGTGTTTGTTTTGGCTGCTTCGCGTTGTGTTGTCTCCCCTTCTTGGTTGAGCATCCCATATTTCTCTCCTCCAGGAGCCATATTCACGCCATCTTGCGCTCGTGTTGTACATCTTATCCTCCCTTGTACTCATTCTCACTTCTTCTATCAATGGAAGCAAGTTTATGAATAACTAGTGTGTACGTGCAATGCACGTGTATGTAAGGCATTATATTGGTTGCACGCGGATATTATGTAGGATATTATTTCTGTGTTAATTATGTAATTACGCTATATTTGTATGCTATTAATTGCACATTAAACATGTTGAGCGTTCGCCATTGGAGCAGCCTAGGTCGTTTGATTGACCTGATTTGATAGCCAAGATTAGTTTGATCTGCCTCTTTGGGTCTTTTCATATTGGTATAGATATAGATTTGTGAACATATGGCGTACTATAACATGTGAACTTTTTAAAATTTTGAGTGATAATTTAGTTATCTACTGCCTGCAAAAAGAAAATAAATGAATCCTGTCAATTGCATTATTATTTACTTATTTCATTTCTAACCAGACAACACTTGCTCATTTTTTATAACAAAATATGTATGTTCATGAAGTTACCTCCACTATTTTTCATATTTAAAGGACAAAATGTCAATACACACAATAGATATTTAGTATCAATAGATTCATCATGAAGTGTAATTTTATGTTTTATTTATTAGTATTTTAGATGTTGATAGTTTGCTCAACTAACATGATCAAATATAGACATGTTTGACTTTTGAAAAACAAAATATGCATTGCATTTTGGAACGGGAGATTAGTAACAAACGAGTCCTTAACACCATGCTCCTGAAGCACCTTGGGTTTATTTAAGAAACATGAAAAAAGAAATTTGAGCGCCCATGTCATGCTATAACATGTGAACTTGTAAAATCTCAACTGATAACTCCATCGTCTATGACCTGCAAAAACAAAAGAAATAGACACTTTCGGTTGCATTATTATTTGTACTAAATTTATTTGTATTGGACAACACCTGCTCATATTTTTTTAATGAAATTGTAGGCTCCACTTCTTTTCTTTCATACTTCCTGAAAAACTTTGAAGTGCGTCTACACCAAGCGCACATGTTAAGATGTGACTTTCCATTAATTAAGGGCCTTTTTGACTCACAATCTTTTTAAACGCATGAATAATAAAAACATGATTTCATATGAATTTGAAGTGGGCGAGGCCTACTTTGGTTTACAGGAATTTTATAGGAACTCTAAATGATAGGAATTTTGTAGGAAAAATTCCTTTGCAGCCCTTTGGTTTGTTGGAATGGTTAGCAGTCAATCCTTCACAATTCAAAGGAAAAAAAATATTAGCCTAGACTTAATAAATAAAGTCATATCATATGAATCAAATGACATGTCTTTTCCTATAGAAAATGAGATACATGTCATCTCACTTCATATGGCTTTATTCAGATGATATTCCTATCCTATAAACCGAACAAAGCCAGTTATTTTCTTCTAGAATCCATGACAGATGAATCACCACAAGAGGAAAATACGTATGTATTACAAAATCCTATATCAATCAAAGAGGTCCCAACAAAGTATCATAAAAAATAGTAATAGAAAGTTCTTAAGAAAAAAAATCTATGAAAACTATCAGTGCAGATGAATCATAAGACGGAAAAATCCTATAGATTACAATTCTACCAATCAAAGAGCCCTAGCAAAGTGTATCATAAGCCCGCGCAAAAAGTTGTATCATAAAAAACAAGAAGCAACACCAAATCGTAGGCCTGAAGCATGCTAGAGCCCGGCGATCATTTTCACTCACGATCACTCCCACTCAGATCACCAGCCAGCCGGCCACCCCGCTGGTGCTGGTGCGGCGGTGCATGCGTGCGACCACTGTGCACAGACCGCACGACACGAAGCAGACACGAGCCGAAAAAACAACTCTTTGCAGAGGCGAAAAGGCCGGGCCCACATGCCGCTCGCATGCACAGCGCCGTACAGGCTCGCTTGCCTGCCTGCTTGCTTGCTTGCCGTCTCCACCACTGCCGCCCCGGCCGCGGAGCCAAAAGGGCGCGATAAAAAGGCCCCGTCTTGATGCGCCGTGGCCACGGGCGGCGAGCGAGCGGGCGGGCTTAAAAGGCGACCGAGAACCCCCAGTTTGACCGGGAAAGAAAGCAGCGGATCGATCGGAGCAGCCACTACCGTCCCTCCACCACCACCACCTCCTCCACCACCTCCCCCTCCACCCACCTCCACGAAGCCAGCCGGGAGCGGCCGACGGCGACATGTGGGAAGGGGGCGTGCACGGGAGCCACCAGGACGCCGCCCGCCTGCTGCCCCCCTGGCTCGGAGGCGGCCCGGCCGCGTTCGCCGACCCCGTCGGCGCCGCGGTTGGGGCCGGGTTCGGCGGCTACGCGTGCGACGTTGTGGGGCAAGCAGGCGGGGTGTTCGGGTTCGGGTTCGAGGCGGCCGTCGTCGCGGCGCAGCAGCAGCATCAGCAGCAGCGCGCGGCGGAGGCTGCGGCGGCGGCGGCCGGGGGCAGCAAGGCCGTCGTGTCCGGGCTGCTCGGGAGCCTGCAGGCGGAGCTGGGCCGGATGAACGCCGGGGAGATCATGGACGCCAAGGCGCTGGCCGCCTCGCGGAGCCACAGCGAGGCCGAGCGCCGCCGCCGGCAGCGGATCAACGGGCACCTCGCCAGGCTCCGCAGCCTCCTCCCCAACACCACCAAGGTAATACTACTACGTGATTCCATGAGCCGATCATCATATGTGTTTACGCGCGAGCGCCTTCTCGATCGTCTAAAACCATAAATTCTTTCACGCATGCGCCATCTTCCCGATCCCTAATTATCACCTCACTCATCTTGCGATTGGTGGTCTTGTCCTAGGCTCCTCGTCCTTGCTGCTACTAGTTTGATCCTCGATCTCGCTGCCGCAAATTACAACTTCCAAACTGTTAATTTGATTTCTTTTTATGTGCATGGTGGCAGTCCTAGCTAAGCTAGGTGTTGCTCCTATAATGGCAAAGACGTGCAAGGTCGATCCACAATGGAACAGTTTCACGGATCTTGCCTACAGGCTACTACTGTGATCACACATTCACAGTGCCAAAACACAATGAAACAAGAATCAGGGCTTGTAAACCGGCAGCTGGTGCTAACCTTCATTTGCTAGGTCTTTCACGAATATGCATATAGCAATACTAGGCTCGATCAATTTCACTAGCCTGCATGCTGTAGCCTCTAGGTAGCTTGCTAGGAAGACTTTCATTATCGAGGAAAAAGGGAACGCATACTAACCTGTGGTAAAAATATCAATGCAAAATAACCTGTGTTAATTAAAGGTTGCAGTTTGCATTGCATCGATCCTTGCTTCTAGTCAATTAGACATGCTCTTCGTCCTGTGGTTCTACTCGATCTAGCAGCATGCTGATATTTCATCTCGGAGATAGGATTAAAAGGTCACTTAAAAAGTACTCCCTCCGTTCCAAATTACTTGTCTTGAATTTGTCTAGATACAGAGGTATCTAGCACTAAAATGAGTCTAGATACATCCGTATCTAGACAAATCCAAGACAAGTAATTCGGAACGGAGGAAGTACGTGCATGGTGTTAATTATCTGGAGTTTCTTGAGTGATACAAGGTGAACATATATATACAGTTAGAGGGAAAATCTTTCATTAACCAGGGGTGATCTCCATTAGTGGCAATGGGGCAGGACGCACCCACGCGCCGCACGCCGTATGTGCTCCCGTACTCGTGACAAGACTTGAGGGGCCGCCAGGCAAGAAATCTTTCATACGCCGGGGAAACCGCTGCTTCTGCTCGGAGAGCGGGAGAAAAAAAAGAGAGCAAAGTGAGAGAGACAATAATGAACTCCATAGATACATGGCTCCAGTCACGGCACCACGCGCACCTACACCCATGCGCGCGCCTAGCTAAGCTAAAGCCCCAAAAGACATGAGAATGCAGCGGAAAGCTGCACCGCGACCGCATTTCTTGCCACCTTTTTCCCCACGCTCACACCAGCCTGATCATCATTTTAATCCACCAATTATAGCTAGCGTGCGCAGTGCTCCGTTCTACGAGCGCTATTGTATTAACAGCTTGTGATCGCATGTGGTTTGCGGTCGTGTGCGTGCAGACGGACAAGGCGTCGCTGCTTGCCGAGGTGCTGGAGCATGTGAAGGAGCTGAAGCGGCAGACGTCGGCGATGACGATGATGGCGGCTGCCGTCGGGGGCGGCGAGGATGACGACGCGGCGCCGGTGCAGATGCTGCCGACGGAGGCCGACGAGCTGGGCGTCGACGCGGCGGAGGACGGGGATGGGCGGCTCGTGGTGCGGGCGTCGCTGTGCTGCGAGGACCGCCCGGACCTCATCCCCGACATCATCCGGGCGCTCGCGGCACTCCGGCTACGCGCGCACCGGGCGGAGATCACCACGCTGGGCGGGCGCGTCCGGAGCGTGCTCCTCATCACGGCGGAGGAGGGTGAGTGCGCTGACGAGGGCGGTGACGGTATCGACGAGGAGTGCGCCGCATCTCACCGGAGGCACGAGTGCATCGCGTCGGTCCAGGAGGCGCTGCGCGGCGTCATGGACCGCAGGGCGGCGTGCAGCAACGACACGTCGTCGTCCGGCGGTGGCGGCGGGAGCATCAAGAGGCAGCGCATGAACTACGGGGCGCATGAGCAGTGCTCGGTTTAGCCCCGCGCCGGCATTATCCAAGATCGCAAGAGCTGCATGCACTGCGCATGCACCTTGGCGATTAGCGTAGCTAGCTAAAGTTTTAGTCGTCGCAAGCTTTGGGGTGTGGTCCTTTGGGTATAATGGTGTGCATGATGGGGTAAAAACGTGAAACTGCAAGAGAGGGAGAGTTTTATGCATCCCTTTTATGTTCTTGTGCATGGATGCATGGATGCTACGCAAATGTATACCTTGGCAGAGGGGGGTGAGAGCTCTTTCAGGTCAGCCTTCATACGGGGAGGGTGATTGTGGGTGTACAAATGTGCTATCTCTGGGGTATAATGGAAGGTGGTATTGGCTTACATGTTTGCATCTGGAGTTGGAGTTGTGTCACGTTGCATCTAGCTGATCACGTTGCATTCACAGATTCAGAAGCGTTGCGTTTTGGTTAAAATCTTGATTTTAGTTGAGCAAATGCATGAGCTATTAAGTCACTTTGAACTACTGTGTGCTATTTAAGGTGGAGTTTCTAGACGTCTGTTGAGTCCTGTGCAAGTTAAGGTTCTTGTGTCTGTGTTCACCTGTAGAACCCTTTTGTGTTCTTCCTTTATATAAGATCAAGTAACGAACTGGTTATAGCTAGTTGAGGCAGAGAGGAACTTGTCAGTCATATGCTCTTATTCCACAAGTCTGTGTGTCTACCTTTGTATACATATGTCTCCTTGGCCATAGTTAGATCTTTGCGTCTAACCTATATCTGGCTAACATACTTCTTTATCTTTCTTTCTCCTCTCGTGGGGCGACTAGGCAAAGCCTTCGTCCCCTGATCTTCGCAGGCGAGCGCTGGATTCGTCTCCCCTCTGACTGCCGCTCCGGCGGCCAGTGATGGGGAAGGGAATCCTCGTGCCTTGGCTTTGGTTAGTAGATAGGATTTTAGTGCTCGCAGGGGTGACACTTGGACGGATGGCGCCGCTTCTCGAGTCAATCTTTTGGGCTCTGATCTTCGTCAAGTTCGTCTGCCGGGACATATTAAACGGAGCTGCAACATAGATTCTCTTCAGGGTGGCGAGGTTAGAATTTCTCGGCATGCGTACACAATGACGAGATTTGGTGGTCATGTTCTTCAGATCGATTCAAGGGTGCAACAATGACCACTGTGGCTCCGGGACACTGTTTCTTAGGGGCACGTGCACGAAGACTTTTCGGCTGTCACCGACAAGATCAGGCTGGCTCTGGTATGGGAGCGACGATAGTGGCACATCGACGACTCGTTCTAGCGGCGGCGGTGGTTGTTTGGTGGTCCAGGGCCCTTAATGTAATCTTCTATTATGTTTGTGTGCTCTGTACTTTTGGTGAACTTTAATAATAGGTCTGAGTTCTTTTTGCAAAAAATAAATACTAGCTGATGTCTAGGGTTATATCCAACATAATAAGACACAAGTTATATCCAACATAAGACAGTAATACGACATTAAGTTTCTACTAGCTGATGTGTAGGGTTTCTTCGGTGGAGATTGCTCCTTCGACGGCGAGGAAAATATAGGTACATGCATGGATCCCCTCTAGCCTATTTCAAGCTTGGAGGGTGTAAGGACATATTTATCCCTAAGTGTTTTGGTGATTGATGACAACGCATTTGCGGACTAATCGTGTGCCATGAGTTTTCCAGACACTTCTTTGCTAGGCACAAGACGATTGGGTGCCCCTCGAAGACTGACGAAGACGACGTCTTTTTTACGTTTCTTTTTGGTGGATTTGAGTCGTAGGAAAGCCGTACTATTAAGAGGGGGTCCGCGTTGGAAAGGTTTGGGTGGAATCATCACGTGCACGTCTCCTTTAATCCCCTCCTTCCTTGGAGCTTCCTCCGTTTTTCCTGCCTCCTTTGACTGGCAGCTGTTGTGGTTGCGGTAGTACTGCTCCTGGATCAACGGTAGTACCGTAGGCATCCACGGTAGTACCGCGCCGTGGCGCGGTAGTACCGCTGGTGCTCACGGTAGTACCGCTCCCGTGGAGCCACACTACCGCTGCCCACCAGGCTAGTGCCGCCCCCTTGCGGTAGTAGGAGCGGATGTAATTTTTTACATCCGCACCTGCCGCGGTAGTACCGCTTTCGCCGTGTGGTAGTACCGCGCTATGCGGTCAGGCAGTAGTACCGCCCCTCGGCAGTACTACTGTGTCGGGTTTTTGCTACTTCTGTTTATTTGCGGAAGTAGGCACGGAAGTTCCCCTCCCCCCTGGCTGTGACTTTTGCCTTGCGGTAGTACCGCATGGGGGCGCGGTAGTACCGCGCGTGCGGAAGTACCGCCCCCAGCTTGCGTCTATTTCAGTGCTGGGGTCACGGCAGTACCGTGGGACGGTACGGTTGTACCGCACTGCCGTGCGGTAGTACCGCTTGGTTGCAAGCAGTAGTACCGCGCGGCCTTGCGGTAGTACCGCTGGCCAGGCGCGGTAGTACCGCTGGCCGCGGGCTGGTTGGTGGGTAACGGTTGGATCTTTTCCACACACTATATAAAGGGTCTCCTTCTTCCCCGTTGACTCACCTCTTCCACCATTAAAGCTCCATTATTGCTCCAAGCTCCATTTTCGCCCGATCTCACTCCCTAGCCAACCAAACTTGTTGATTTGCTCGGGAGTGGTTGAGAAGGCCCCGATCTACACTTCCACCAAGAGATATTTGATTCCCCCCTACTAATCCCTTGCGGATCTTGTTACTCTTGGGTGTTTGAGCATCCTAGATGGTTGAGGTCACCGTGAAGCCATAGTCCATTATGGTGAAGCTTCGTGGTGTCGTTGGGAGCCTCCAATTGAGTTGTGGAGATTGCCCCAACCTCGTTTGTAAAGGTTCGGTCGCCGCCTCCAAGGGCACCAATAGTGGAATCACGACATCTCGCATTGTGTGAGGGCGTGAGGAGATTACGGTGGCCCTAGTGGCTTCTTGGGGAGCATTGTGCCTCCACACCGCTCCAACGGAGACGTACTTCCTCTCAAAGGGAAGGAACTTCGGCAACACATCCTCGTCTCCACCGTCTCCACTCTTGGTTATCTCGTGCCTTTACTTGTGTAGCTTATTTGTTTCATATATCTTGCTTGCTTGTGTTCCTATTCGTGTTGCATCATATAGGTTGCTCATCTAGTTGCATATCTAGACAACCTACTTTGATGCAAAGTTTAAATTGCTAAAGAAAAGCTAAAAATTGTTAGTTGCCTATTCACCCCCCCTCTAGTCAACCATATCGATCCTTTCAATTGGTATCAGAGCCTCGTCTCTTTATTAAGGACTTTACCGTCCAAAGAGTATGGTTGATGCCGTAGACGGTGCGGAGGAACACTCCGGTGTGAATCCTATCTCGTCTACGGGCGATGCGGGAACTTCGGTCTCTCGTGAGGAGTTCAATGTGGTCTTGGAGACATTGAAAACCTACATGACGACCGAAGTTGAAAGCATGTTTACTAAATTTCTTGAGGGGCTTAAACTATCCACCGCACCGTTGAAAGTGGGTGATCCCGCCATCAAGGTGTCGGATGCTATCCCCGACAAGGGGGAAGCTAGTAGTGAAAAGGCTCCTTCTTCTAGTGGCAAGAATGGCACCGGCATCTTTGCCCATGTGAAACCACCACTTGTTTATGGTGGACCGGTTCCTTCCACTCATTTGAATCATGTCGGTCCTCTCCCTAAGATTGTGAAAAATGAGGATTTTGATTCTTGGGTTTACCGCTTTAAACATCATTTAAATCATGTGAACACTAACCTTTGGAGAATCATTGAAGAAGGTTTCTATCCACATGATCCAAGCAACTTCACTCCTCGAGAAGCCGCGAACAATCAATTCAATGAGAATGCTCTCTTCATCATTCAAGATGCAATTCCACCCGAAGACCTACCTCATCTTCGTCCCTTCGCCTTGGCCAAAGATGCATGGCATTGTGTCGTGTCTCTTTACCGGGGAAGCGCAAGCATTCAACGCTCCAACTATGAAGTGGTACAAGATGAGTCCGATGAGTTTGCAATGAAGGAAGATGAAGAACCTCGTGAGCTTTACCGAAGAGTAACCAAACTCGCAGTCTCACTACGAGATCACGGGAGCAAGGACACGGATGACAATTGGACCAAGCGCAAATTCCTCAAGGCAATGATGCCCTACCACAAGGCCATGTCTTCCGTCATTCCTCAAAGACCGGACTTCCACACTTTGACCTCAAGCGAGGTGTTGGATGAGTTTGTGGCCATGAACATTTTGGACAAGACCGCCGACAATGCAGTGCTCCGTTCTCAACGGGCAAAGAAGCCTAACCTTGCATTGAAGGCCAAGCTCACCGTGGAAGAAGAAGAAGAGGAAGAAGAGGAGAGCAACCCCGAAGATACGAAGTATGCATATCATGAACACATGGCACTTGCTTCAAGGCAATTTTGGAGCAAGAAAAACTTGAGGCCCAATTTTAGCAAAAACAACTCGAGTGGCACAAGGGGCAAGCAACGTGTAAGGACTTTCTACAATTACGGAAACGTGAGTCATTTCGTTGTGGAATGGCCGTATGAGAAGAGGGAAGACAATGGTGGCAAACTCATCCGAGAGGACAAGGCCAAGTCGTTTCCCAACAAGAACAACTTCACCAAGAAGATTCCTCCCAAGGCTTTGGTTGTGCAAGAAGAGTACAATGAGGATGATGATGATGATGAAGATGATGAGTCGGTTGCCATGGCCTCCGTTGCCATTGCAACAACGTCACGGGTGTCTCTCTTCGACTCACCAACGAGAGCATCACCGCCAAGTGCCTCATGGCTAAAGCCACCAACAAGGTAACCTCCAACATCAAAACTACCATCATTAATCATCCTTACCCAACGGATAGCATTAATGAACACGAGGGAGCTAATGTGGAGGCTAACGAGTTTGAGGCCTTTATGGGCAAACTCAAGGGAAAATCCAAGAAGCACTTTGTTGCTCTCTTGGAACAACTGGGTGAGGCCAATGACATGATCGAGGCTCACGAAGACACCATCTCTAAGATGGAAGGGCATA